GTCTTCTCTTCTCCATGATTTGACTCTTCTCTGCTGATAGGGTCTAGGCTCCTTAAACCTGTTTATTTCTCTATACCTATGTCTGACTGTTGCTTATATCTATGCTCACTCTTAGGGACATTATATCTTGCTGGTGGCATAGTTCCTCCTCAAAATTGTATCCCTGAAGGGGGAGGTAGAGAGAAAAATTCTCTCTTCCATTTCCTGTTCTCCAAAAGCAGCTCCTAGCTTTGCAATCTCTCCCACTCTAGAGACGCTAAAATTCAGCCTGGGCCAGGGTATGGCTATTTTTTTTTTTTTGCTCAGCCAATCTTATTGCTCCCTTTTTGACTTGGAAAGGATTTGTATCAAAGAAAGGGAATCACAAGGTGTTACACCTTGTTAACATAGTAAAACCTCATCATATGTCATATTCTATGAGTAAATCAAATGATGGAGCTGGGTGAGCCACAACCTCCCCCCATATAAGTAAATGCAAACTACGTACAAAGTAGTTTCTGGGTGGAGTGCAAAGATCTAGTGAGAAGGTCAGTTTATTAATAGAAAAGAGATTTCAGAAGGGGCAGGGTGAGGGAGACTGAGATGAAGGCATGTCTTGTATGAATTGGTGGCCATCCTCCTTGCCAAGGCTGACCCCTCGATGTGCACCAATGGTGTCATTCCTTGCCATCTTCTCCAGCAGATTTTTCCTCTATGTCCCTCACTCCCTCACCTATCTTCAATCTCTTCCTGTCAATTGTCTGCTTCCTTACTGCTTATAAATGTGCCTATATCTCTCACATCCTTGAAGGACCTTCACTTGATCTATTCTTCCCACTAGCTATCGACCCAAATCTCTCCTCCCTTTTGTGGCTAAACTCTTTGAGAAGGTTGTCTACAATTGGTGCCTACACTTGCTTTTCTCTAATTTTCTTCTTAACTTTCCGTTGTGTGGCTTCCAACCTCATCATTAACTGAATCTGCTTCCTCCAAAGTTACTAACAATCTCTTGATTTCCAAATCTAACAGTGTTTTCTCAGTTCTCGTTCGACTTGACCTCTTGGAAGCTATTGACACTTTTTTTAATCCTCTTCTTTACGCTACTCTCTAGATTTTCAAGACCCTTCTCTCTCCTGATTCCCCCAACTTGTCTGACTTCTTTTCAGTTTTGTTTGCTGGATATTTGTCCATACCACACACACTAACCATGGGTATCCACAGGACTCTTTCCTGGGCCCTCTTCTCTTCTGGTTTTTTTTTCTGTACAATGTTTCATGTGTGACCTTATTAGTTCCCATAGATTCAATCATTATTTCTACGCTGATGATTTTCAGAACTCCTTATCCAGACCTAAACTCTCTGCTGTCCTCCAGTTTTGCATCTCTGACTACTTATTAGACATCTTAAATTGGATGTTCTGTAGACATCTTAAACTCAACATGACCAAAATTGAACTCATTATCTTTCCCTCCAACTCTATTACCCCCAAACTTCCCTGTTACTGTTGAGCGCACTACCATCCTCCCAGTGCCCCAGGCTTGCAAACTAAGTGTCATTCTTGACTCCTTACTGTCTTATTCCACCCTCCCCTCCATATCCAATCTGTTCCCAAGCCTATCAATTTTCCTTTCATAAAATCTCCTATATGTTGTTCCTCTTCCTTCATTTTTGAAGAGGACCAATGACATCACAGATGTCAGTGATGTCTTGACTTGTGCATGAATTGAATCTGTGAGGCAGAGCTGCACAAAGTCATCAGCCTCACTCTCTCTTTCAGAGTCTTGGAAGTCCAGTGGCAACACAAAAGTCAGCATGACTGGCGATGACCTGGGATGCAGTGGATGACCTTGGCATCTTGAATGTCTGACCAAAATCTGAATGCTCCACGGTGCCTGTTTCAGCAGCCTTCGTGGCCTTTGAAACAAATTGTTCTCATCAACCCATTTCACCAGGGGAAGTCTTTACACACGTGGGGTAGACATACCCTTAACTCACTAAAGGGTTTGAGATGTGTTGGTTATTCTCAACCTGGTTTAGCCTGTCTGGGGAAAAGGTTTTACTGGGGTGTGGCTACTGCATATGCTACAGCTTCTTGGAGTCACAGGTGACTTGGGCGGCACCTCCCCTCTGACACCTTGGAGCAGGCCATTACCATGTCATACCTGGACTGTTGCAACTGCCTGTTGACTGGTGTCCTTGCCACAAATCTCTCCCTACTCTGGTCCATGCTTCATTCAGCTGTCAAAGTGGTCTGAAAGTGACCATGTCACCCCCCCTACTCAGTAAATTCCACTGGCTTCCTGTCACCACCCAGATCAAAGTGGCGGTATGAATATGGAGGACCTGTGGAGCACTGGGGAATGATGGCAAAATTCTTAGAGTCAGAAGCACAGCCAGGAGGGAAATAAAACATGGCTAGGCTGGGCCTACCCCAAAAATAAAGGTCCCCAAAAGAACTCACCAGTGGGAGGAGGGAGTCAGTATGGCAGAAGGACGTTGAAGGGTGAGAAGGACCTAGGCACTGAGGAAAGTTCCAAGGTAATTGAGCGGCTGAGTTATGGTGGCAAAGTGCATAGTCCAAAGCTGAGTCTGGAAGATGATGAAAGATAGCTGACCCTCAAAAATGCTAGGCAAAAAAAAAAAAATCCTTGATTGTGCAGTGGATGACAATTTCTATGTAATTATCATTGTCACAATATCAGTAGGACTTGGGACCTATCCATTCACCAAACACCAATCCTGTGTTTATAAATTGCTTAATTAAATGACTGCATAAGTTTTCATGTAATCATAAAATGAGGTCCAATAAACAGCATATAAGATGATCTCTTTATAGGTTAGGCCCTCATTTGGACAGAGAGATGACTTTTCTATGGATAACAGAGTCCTTTGTCCTATTTTGCTTCCTTGTTTAATTATTTGACTGTCACTTCAAAAAAAAAAAGAATCTTCTTATTTTGAAGTTATTTCTGAAGTTCCTTCATTTTTATATTCTTGTAAGGACCAGCAACATTGATAGCTAGAACTAAGTGTTTTGGGGGAGAAGGGCTATTGTTTTTGTGTTTCATGCCTTATTGTTCCTTTAGAACAGAACGGCTTCTCCACATTACTATTTATAGATTTTCAAAGGTCCCTCAGGCAGAGTCAGTGCCACTGATTGAATTATAGCACAGTAACTTAAATATCCACCTCAGGAATGATAGGGGTCTTAAATAGACAGTCATATTTACTTAGGAAACCTAGAGTTTTCTTAGATTGCCAACCCTAACAGGAAAAGAAATGTCGGGGTGACAGAGCTTAAGTGGTGCTCTGAGTACTGTGCCATGCTAATTCTCTATACTTAAGATACTAAACCAGCCTGGGAGGAGCTATTTAATTAAGTAAAAGTAAGTCTAGTCACTTTGCAACCAAGGATTTCAGGGAACAAACATATAGCAGTATGTGGGAAGTTAATATGAGCTTCACGGTCACAGCCACACCTCACAACCCCATATCAGGTGGGCTTCCAGATGGTGATTGGCAGACATAATTGTCAAACACAGTTTAAATTTCAGTAGCTACACAACGGTCATACAAAACTACAGTACAACACCTCATTACCTCTGTTCTTCAAAGAAAAAGAGCCATTCTGGATTTTCAAAGTTGCTTTGAAGACTGTCAAGGTAAGACCAGAAATGTTCCTGATATCAAACTGTAGCATTTCAAAGATAATTTGCATTTCAGTCACAGGTCAAATTTGAAGTTTAGACATCTTTTCAACTTTGAATTTTTCTTTCTCCCATTATAATTTAACACATCAAGAGAACATAATGGGAAAAAAAACCATGACAAACTCTGAAAGAATGAATGATAAATTAATTTAGATATCTTAAAAAAAAAACCCACTGCTGTCTTGGCTAAGCATAGTTAGAAATGAATCTGGGACAAATCAATAAATATGACAGTTTGTTACCATATGATGCTTCCAGAAATCGGAGAAACCCTTCACTGTTCAATAGGTTGGTACTCTCATGCAGGTGAAGCTAGGGTAGCAGGTAGATGTTGGTAAGGCAAATAGATTTTCTATCACATGTAGCATCTTTTATGCGATGAAAATTAAAGAGTTAAATAAAGTTAAAATGTATGTGATATGAAACAAATGTTTAAAGCTCTTTTAGTGTTAATAACAAAAGGATGAGATAAATGCTTAACTATATAATTTACTGATTTTATCAGTATTAGATACAACCAAACTCATAGAGGAGTCATGACTAAGATGTGATTGAATTTCATGATTTTGGAGGTGGGGATAGGGTGGGGCATGAGGGAATTCAGAATCTCTGTTTCTTTCTTCTGTCCATAGAACTATTTGTGGGGTCTTGTTCTTTATAGACCACATTAGAAATATGTTATGGCATAATACAATACAAATATCTTTTTCTCCCCCATTACATTATGAGCTTATTGAGGGCTGGCAGGGATGACTTTTTGCCTTTCTTTTTTTTATTCCTGGTGGTTATTAGCACAGCGTCTGGCACATAGGAGGTGCTTCATAAAGATTATTGATGGACTTACTGACAGAGTGGAATTGGGTGTCAGAGGAGCTGGATTCACATATGACCTCTGTCACTAAACTATGTGTGTGACCTCAGGCAAACCATGATTTTCTTTAGCGTCAGTTTCTATATCTTTTAAACCAGCATAGGTTTAAATACATACCATGTTTCATAATCACATTAGGCTCTAGACTTTTCTAGAAATCTGTTTGACAAATTTCAGTAATGCCACTGTTCCTGGGTGTTTTGGTGCTAAGAAGATGGAGGATATGACACCATCTTCCCTTGACTTTCTGACCATCTTTTTGCCATATTTAAGATGAAAGTAGATTAGTGTGAAGTTGGATTTGTGACTGCTGCTTAGAAACAAGACACATTTTTTAAATAAATGAAAATACCAAATTCTGATTAATGTTTATTCTGTTGAACAATTAAAATTGTACTATACTTTTTTTTTTAAATAGCCTATTATTTCCACCAAAGAAGATGAAGGCTATCTTATTTTTCTTCATCTTGGCAACAGCAGAGGCCATTCCGGTAAGCATTTTCGCCCCTCCCCAATCCTACCCCTATCAGGAAGCTTCCTTATGATTTCTTTACCTTAGAATTTTTGTTAAATCTTGACATACTCAACTCCTTTTGCAGGGGAAAAAAAAAAATCTAAACGTTTACAATTGTAAAGCATTTAGCACAGTGCTTGGCATATAGCAAGCGCCACATAAATGTTTGCTGTAATTGTTATTACTATTCAAGAAATTGTATACCTTGAACTACCTTTTTAATATTTGGGGATTCAGAATCATGGGATCTTAGAAGTCAGAAACTATACCTGAAAAGAATGCCTCTACAAGTGGTCATCCACTTTGCAGATATCTATTATATCATGTCTCTGGGCCAGTCTTGTGATTTGTTTCCTGAACTCCTCATCTATTTTCTCTTTCTGTACAGGTGATCTATAAAATGCCCAAAAGGTAACATTGCTTCTGTTTCTGCCTCCTTTGAGCTACACCCAAGTGCCTAACTATACTATGACCTCCTTGAGTGCCTCAATTCCCTGGCATGAATATATTTTACTATCCTTTTCCTTTCAAATAACAGATACATTTTGATATTCAGACTCAAGTCCTATCCTATCAAATCTTAGTGATTGTCAGATTTACCCTCTTGTGTTAGGACTCCTAGCTCATTTTACTTGTTAGCCTTACTTGGGTCATTTGTGTATGGACATCTAGGCTACAGATTTTAAAAATGGTTTCTCTCCTTATATTTTATCTTCTGCAGACTTATGTGGCTCTCTCCTACTATTCTTCCTACACGTTGTGTCCATTCTCTGTGATATATAGCTTAGAGGATCTATGTAGGTAGTTTGCGCTTTAAGACATGGTCCAGAAATCCCATTCTCAGGCACCGTCTTCTTAACCTACTGTTCACTATCCAAATCTGCTTTTTTTTTTTTCTGAATCTCTTATTTTTGATGGGCAGGAGTGGCAAAAATAACACGAATACTCTCAAGATCTATGGTTTCTTTCTCAACACTTAACAACTGTTGGAAGTGATTTCTTTAAAAAAACTATACTTTTAAATTGTAACATTCATTTTTAATATTTTTTCCAATTACATGTAAAAACAATTTTAGCATTCTTTTTCCAAATTTTAAATTCCAAATTCTCTCCCTCCCACCTCTCCCCCCACATTGAGAAGGCAAGCAATTTGACATAGGTTGTACATGTGCAGTCATGTAAAATATGTTTTCACGTAAGTCATGCTATGAAAGAAAACACAGACCAAAAAACCCAAGAAAAATAAAGAAAGTAAAGAAAAAGTATTTTTGGTCTGCATTCAGGCTCCACAGTTCTTTCTCTGGAAATGGATAACATTTTTTATCATAAGTCCTTCTGAATTAATTGTCTTGAATCATTGCAGTGCCAAGAAAAGCTAAGTTATTCACAATAGATCATTATACAATATTGCTGTTACTGTGTACAGTGTTCTCTTGGTTCTGCTCATTTCACTTTGCATCAGTTCATGTAAGTCTTTCCAGGTTTTTATGAGAACATCCTGATTGTCATTTCTTATAGCACAATAGTATTCCATCACAATCAAATACAATAACTTGTTCAACCATTCCCTAATTGATGGACATATCCTCAATTTCCAATTCTTTGCCACCACTAAAAGAACTGCTCTTTTCCTTTTCATTTTTATCTCTTTGGGATATAGACCTAGTATTGGTATTGCTTGGCCAAAGGGTATGCCCTTTGGGCATAATGTAACATTCATTTTTAAAAAAAATGTTGAGTTCCTAATTCTTTCCCTGCTCTACCTATTAAGAAAGCAAGCAGTATATTATCAATTATATATGTGAAGTTATTGGAAATGCTTTCTTTTTTTTTTTAACAAATCAAGTAAAAGTTTGTTTTTTTAAATTTAGAAAATTTTTAATTTTAGATAAACACTAAAACTTTAATATATAAGAAAAGAAAAAATATTATAAACTTGAATATAAAATAAGAAAAGAAAAAACATGCCATGTACACAGCAGAACATAGGAGAGGATTCAGAATATATAGCAATAACTTTTCATTTCAAGAAAGCCTTATATATTAAATACTGCATGTTATGTTGAAAGCTGTCCATCTTTGCTTCCTGTAGATTTTCTTTTGTTCTCTAATGTACACTTTTTACTTTGTTCCTTTTCCTCCTTCCTCTCTCTACCCCCCTACCCTACCCCAAGGCTATAATTAAGCATGGATATATTTATATATAGATATTAATATATACATACACGTATACATATACACATACATACATATATAAACATATGCTTTTCCTAAGAGATTCTACTCCTAATCTTTGTTTTTATGTTTGTGCATATCTCTTATTTCCTATTTCTCCTAACTCTTCTACTTTATTTCTACCTGCTACCTTGCCTTCCTATTACTTAACCTACCTCCTCCTTCAGCAATCCCTCCTTTATCCTCCTATTCACCTAAATCTAAACACCATTTTGTACACCCCGTTGACCTATTCCTTCTCCTTCCCCTCCAAAGATCTCTCCCTTATCCTTACATTCCCCTAAATCTAGATACTCTTCTATATCCCCCTTTTGACCTGTTCCTTCATCCTCCCCTCTAAAGATCCCTCCTTTATCCTCTCCCCCCCAATAATTTAGAGTTTTATTTCTTTCTAAATTTAGAAGACTTTTCTGTTCTTCTAGATGTATATGTATTTTCCCCTCTTGAATCCATTCCCCATAAAAGTAGGTTTCCAGAACTAACAGCCTTTCTCCCCCAATCTAATTCCTCTGTATTGGTTCTTTCTCTTGCACCTCATTTGTATAAGATAATTACTCTTTTAGCTGTTTTACTATACTATGAATGGTTTATTATTTGAAGTCATATCATATGCAGGTCTACCCCAATCTTTCTTATAAGCTAATTACTAATAACAATCTTAGACATAGGTTTTACATACATAAAAGGTAAACATTCTATCTTTATTGAGTCTTTTGTAATTGGTCGTTGGTATGTACCTTATATTTCTTTTGGCTCTTGTATGTCAAATCTTCCATTGAGTTCAGGGTTTTTTTTTTCCTTAACAAAATCCTGAAAGTCTGACAATTCATTAAATGTCCATTTTTTTTTTCTATTCAGAATTATGCTTAGCTTTTCTGGGTATGATATTTTCAGCCGGAAGCCCAGTTCTTTTGCTCATCATTATATAGGGTTCCAACACCAGCAGTCTTTTAGTGTCACTATTGCTAGGTGTTGTGTGATTCTAATTGTGGTACCATCATATGTAAATTGTTTTTTTCTTGTTGCCCATAATATTTTATCCTTGAGGTGGGTGCTTTGGAATTTGACTATAATATTACTGTGAGTTTTCATTGTAGGATGTCTTTCAGGTGGTGGATTTTTTCTATTTCTTTCACCTCTTGTTTTAATGCTTCAGGACAATTTTCTTTAATTATTTCTTGTATTATTGTATTAAGATTCTTTTTTTGATCATAGCTTTCAGGTAGTCCAATTATTCTTATGTTTTCTCTTCTTGATTTGTTCTCTAGATCAGTTGTTTTTCTTATGAGATGTTTCACATTTTCTGCTTTTTCTTCTTTATTTTTATTTTTTTAAATTTCTTTCTCTTATAACTTCACTGGCTTCCTTCCCCTTGCCCAATTCTGATTTTCAAGGAGTCATTTTCTTCCTTATCTCCTTTTCTAATTGGTTGACTTTCTTTTCATAATCTTCTTGCTTTTCTGGGATCATTCTTATTTTTCTTTTTAGTTTTTATGCAGTCTCTCTCATTTGATTTTTTTTTTTGGCAAGGCAGTTGGGGTTAAGTGACTTGCCCAGAGTCACACAGCTAGTAATTGTCAAGTGTCTGGTCTGAGGCAAGATTTGAACTCAGGTCCTCCTGATTCCAGGGCTGTACCCTATCCACTGTGCCACGTAGCTGCCCCTCTCATTTGATTTTCAAAATCTTTTTAAAGTTCTTCAGTGAATTCTTTTTGGCCAGATGACCATTTGACATTACTCTTTGGGGTAGAAGGATTTCTTTGCTTCAGTATCTGCCTGGTTTTCTCTATTCCCATAATAGCCCTCTATGGTTGGATTCCTTCCCCTTTGCCTGTTTACTTTTTGGTAATAGTTTACTTTTTATAATCACCTCTAGTCCTGGGATGTGGGGTATAGTACCTCTGGCCTCAGATCCTCTTCAATTCTCCACTCTGACCTTGAACTCAAGCCAATACCTCCAGCCTCCTGTAAGTGCTCACAACCAGTGGAGTCAGTGCGCCTGCACTCACCCGGAGTGATGGTTCCATCTTGCCCCCACCATGTTTCCACAGCACTGCTGGGTCTGATTTCTTTGTTCCTAGATCTTCCCTAGGTCAGACACCAACTCCCCTCACTGTCCTGGGGATAAAAGTCCTTGTGGCTTGGGGGAGGCAGCCTCCCAAACCAGCTAACTCCAGGGCTTACTGCTTATTCTTTAAGTGGGTCTCTAGCCTGGAGGTGTTCACTCTTCACTGGTAGGAAATCTTTTTCCGGGATTTTTCTTCACATCTTCCCTGATTATCCCAGGAGGACCCCTGTTCTGCCCCTACTCTTATTTATTTTCACTGCTCTCTGTTTGCCCAGAGGTGCAACTGAGCTCTTTTGTGGAGGAAAATCTTGAGAGCTTGATATTTTCTGACCTATTCCTCCATGTTCCCAGAATCCTCTCTGTGGAAATGCACTATAAGTTTTCTCTGAAGTAATATTTATGACTATGTGAATTACTAGAAGTGAGTGGTGATTATTCATTTTGATAAGTCTTGGAAAGTTTTCTGTCACACTTTAGATAAATGCTCTGAGAATAGACAACTTGCCCTTAATTGTTATCAGTGAACACAAGAATGTCTTAACATTTTTCATCTGGGAGTCACCAACATCTTTATTTGTTTCTTCTTCCTCTGACTTTTACTTCTCACCTGGAATCCCCTCTGCAATGACTTCACTATTTTTTAGAATTCAAGAAGATATTTCTTTAGTGTTGAGTGTCCTCCTCTTTGGGGAAGAGCCTCTTACTTCTTAGCTCAAAGTGTTCTACAATCCTTTTTATAGCCTTTTCCCCCACTTTGTTACATTATTCTACCCTCCAGCCTCCTGACACAGGTCAGGAGTCTCCTTTCCCTCAAGAGATCCAGTGTGTGAGTATGTGTGTGTGTGTGTGTGTGTGTGTGTGTGTGTGTGTGTGTGTGTGTGTGTGTAAGGAACATTTCATTATCAATGTCCCTTGATAACCTAGAGTAGAGAGGTGTTTCATAAGCCTCTTCTCTTTCAGCCGGGAGACCAGCCTGTGGCAAAAACATAAATACTGCACTTTCTAATGAAGAGGTAATGGTAAATTTCTTTTAGTTCTCCTAAATTTAAACTAGATCCTCTCTTTCCTGCCCTTTGCCTGCATTTGTAACATTCTGCCTTGTTAGAAGGTCTATCAAAATGATTCATTCCTCTTCATTTGTTTGCTACCCAAGGACTATGTTCAACTCCATGCCCATCCCTTGTTTCATGCTATATAATCCTGATTTTAAAATCAATTAAGATACTCACATTTGTGGCAAACACAGGAAATGGTAACAGTGACAATGGTATTTCCCCCACTGTCTCTTATGGAAAAAAAATTGTTCTAGCTATTGAAGAAGAAAAACCTCAGAGAATCTTGGAGTAGTTGACTCACAGGATTATAGGAATATAGGTTTAGAATTGGAAGGGAGCACAGAGGTAATCTAGACCAACTTTGACATTTTACAGACAAAAAAACTGAAGTGTGGTGGAGTGAAATCTTCAGGGTCCTACAGGGACTAGGTGGTAGAGACATTTGACCTATTTTCAGATATTTGAATATTTGAACACAAGTCCCAGGACTCCAAAGTGCTCTAAGATGTCTTGGATTCCTATTTTAATCTGTCCCTGGTTCTACCTTTTTGAGTCAGTATTCTTTGTCTCTGTGCTATGTCCTAAGGGGCAGTTGGTAACCAAAGTCTTCCTTCATCCCTTTATGATAGCTAATTGGCACTCAACCACTCTGTCCCAGTGAGGACACTTGGGTAGCCTGTAGTATTTTTTTTTGTTTCTTGTGGATGTGCTAAATTTGTATAATGTGCCTAAGACAGTGAAATGAGGGCCATCTTGTGTGGTCTGGCAGTCCCTACCAAAATATAAGGACATATGTGGGTCCATGTTTAGATGCAATCTAAACCATGAAGGTGGCTAATTCTTCTCTTATTGTATTGTTCTGCCCATCTGAAAGCAACCAAATACCCTTGGAGACATCAGGGTATGCTCAGGATCTCTCTTAGATTCTGTCCATCCAAAGCAATAGAGTGAAAAATCCTAAACTAAATACTGGTAGTAAGAGGCAGCAGATGGCTTGGTAGATAGAACACTGGGCTTGGCATCAGGAAGACCCAAGTTCAAATCTGACCTCAGATACTTACTAAGGAACCTTGGGCAAATTGCTTAACCTCTGTTTGCTTCAATTTCCTTAACTGCAAAATGGGGATAATAATAGCACCTGCCTCCCAGGGTTGTCATGAGGATGAAATGAGATAATATATATGAAGCACTTAGCACAATGCCTGCTGTGTAGTAGGTGTTATAAAAATGCTAGCTACTATTATTCTTATCTCTTACTAGGATTGGAGAAGATTCTAAAAGAGATGAAGAGGGTAGCAAAGGGAGCAGTAGCTTTAAAGAACACAGATAATTCAACTCCCCAACTACCTGTTCATTACTCCCCACCGTTGATTACCATCAGGACCAGGCTATGTTCTACAGCAGTGATGTCAAAGTCAAATAGAAACAGGGGCCACTAAAACAGCAGTGATGTCAAAGTCAAATAGAAACAGGGGCCACTAAAACCTACATAAGGATCCCTGTGGGACTTGATGTTAAAATCTATGTTTGAAATACTTATTTTGTTAAATATTTCCCAATTACATTTTAATCTGGTTTGGGCAGCACTCTGGAGTGTTATGAGCCACATGGCCAAAGACCACATATTCGATACCTCTGCTCTAGAGAGTAGCTTTAGAAGAGATGGTGGTTGCATTTTTGAATGAAGACACCATAGGGCTTCTCCTGTAGCCTTCTGCATGTCTAAGGTGTGCGTGGTTTTGAAAATAGCGAATCGCAATGAGAAGACAATGAGTGATAACATGCGGAAGATTAGGGAGGGGAGATACCTATGAAAAATGGGCAGGAAATTTGGGTAATGAATGTCACTTTAGCTTAAAACATCAGAGGAAGGCAACACAACAAGAACAAACTATAGGCTATAATAAATTGTCATGTTGGAAGGGAAATAAATCACTGGGAAGGTGCCAGTACATAGAGATAGATACTACTAATAGTAGATTCTCAGCTCCGAGTGAACTTAGGAGAATGACTATTGTAACAAATAAGGTCACCAACTGTGTTTTAGAGTATTGAATGACTACACTTATCCCTGAAGACAAGCACTGAAAATACTTCCTTCTTCGAGGATGCAGGGAACTATGAATGTGGGGTATAACATGGATGTGATTAAAAAGTTGTTTGGTCCTGGTGAAAAGCTTTTAAAAAATTCTTTGTAATAAAGGATGACTCATTGGGTAGGGAAAGAAGGAAGGATATATTCAGAAATGAAGGTTATGTTAAAATGCATCAATAAAATATTTTTAATCTCTTTATTAAAATTTTTTGTCAATGATTTTTGGGCATTTGCAAATGTGGGTAACCAAAAGGGGGTATTTCCCACTGAGTGTGTGTGTGTGTGTTTTATGGGGGAGGATGGTAGAGGCATTATCCAAGAGAAGATAAATCCCCAGGAAATCACTCAGGCCCTCTTGGTCACAGGCATCCCCAACACAAGAACTTCCCTCAGGCCAGTCAATACATCAGTACAATTTGGAGTGGCATAAAATCTTTTTTTACCATTTATGCCTACTTTAAACTTCTTATGTTTTCTAAGACAAACAAGAATTTGCTTGTCTTCTACGTGTGTGACTTTATTTTTTTATGTTTTTCATGAAATCATTTGAAGATCAAGCGTATTTCAAACATAAGTACTGCAATATTCTGTTTTCAATTTGACAGGTTTCTCAGATCAGACCCCAAGAGAGATATGATTTTGATGGATCAAAGGATTTAAATTGTCCAGGAACACCAGGAGTGACCAAACAGGTATCATATGTTTAGAATGTGTTTTCTTTTTATTCTTTGGTTCTATGTATATTCCACTTGAAAATTCCTTTTCCTTTTCCTACTCTTTATTCCCACTGCCATCACCCTAGTACAGAGGAGGGGTAAAACTAGCAATTGTTTTCCCTGGGGCTAGTGGTACCATAAGAGCTGTGTCTACACATAAGGGGACAGGATCTGTGGGCTGGGTCTGTTTGGGAGAGGAAGTACACCTTGGGAAACCATTAGGTTTCTAAATTGCTAAAAAAAACATGGTCTGAAGTGGGAATAGCTAGGGAAGAAATGAATCCTGGGACAGGGCTGTGGACTTGCTCTAAATTTTCCACCTTGTCACAAAGCCCCATTGGACCTGCCCAGATTATGGTTGTTGCATAAAGTGCTCATTAATACCCACCTAGACTATTGTAATGGCCTTTTAACAAGTATTCCCACCTCTAATTTTTCCCCTTTCAATTTCATACTTCATGTCACTGCCAGAATAATCTTTCTTATGCATTTTGATATTGCTCTGTATATTCCTACCTCTTTGTCTTTGCTCATACTATTCACTGTGCCTGGAATGTTCTCTTTTCTGTTGAAATCCTAGCCATCCTTTAAAGCCCAGCTCCCCAGCTCCCTGCTCCAGGAAGACTTGCTGATTCTTTTTTTTGGAAGCAATCCTCCATCTCAGACTTCATGTAACCCTTTATTGTATATTTATTTCTGGTTCTCACATATTATTGTTCATTATGGTTTTTATTTGTGACATTGTCTTACCTCCAGAGCTGAGTACAGTGCTTTTTTATCCAATAGGCTCTTTATAAAAGTTGAATTCAATTGAATTGAATTGTGATCAAATTGTCATCTGTATTTTGAACTTATGCTACTAGGTATTTGAAATAACAGCTCTATAGTGAGGCACTTTCCTCCCTTGCTATCTAAACATCAGTAGAAAGAAGGAAACAAGGTTTAGTTGACATCACTGACATTTCCCATAAACTAGCTGTGCTTGCAGATGATGTAATCAACCATATCTACTCTGCTTCCACTGGGGTATGATTTTTGGATAGTCATATTCTGCTTCTTAGCCCAAGATAGTGCTTAATATAATAAATGTATAATACATCTTTTGCAACTAGTTGGCTGAGCTTTGAAGCATATATTTGCTTAACAGACAATGAGTTGGTGGCAGTCAACCACAAACACATTTTTTTTATTCATAAACATTTTAAAAGCTAATAGAAAAGTTACACAAAATCTTAAGATACATTTTGAAGTGAGAAAAATTCATGTACTCAATTATCAAAAATCCACAAGATTGTTAGTGTTATTCTAAATGAGTGAGTCAGAGGATTTTTAGTTTGAATCGTGACTCTGCCTCTAACTACCTGTGTGACCTTGGGCTTCACTTCTCTGGTCCTCACTTTCATCATGTATAAAATGAGGAGGTTGGAATTGATGACCTCTAAGGTGTCTTCTAGATCTATAATCCTATGACTTGGTCAAATTATTCCTTCTCTCTGGATCTCATTTTCCTCATCTACAAAATTAGGAATATGAAAAAAAAATTAGGAATATGGCTGAAACTTCTTGTATTCCAAATAACCAGAAACATATAGCATGAGCACACTTCCCAAAGAAGCATTCAAAGCACTTGCCTCCTAAAAAGAGAGGTAACATCTTTTAAGTATATATACATATATACATATATATATATATACATATATACATATATATACTAAGTATATTTGCCATAAATACTTTGTATCCACAAAACATTTTAAAATGTTATTATATTCTATAGACAATATACCTATATTATTTTGTTATCATAAAGCATTCTATAAATGTTATTATTTATAATAATTCAGTAAGAAAATTTATTTTCTGATTGGCACATTTGAATGTTCTTTTAAAAGCAATTTTTTATTCTTTTGAGAAATGTGCCCTTTTGAATTTTTTAATAGCTGATTTGCCTACTTAAAAAACTATTTTAAGATTCTCTGTAACTTTAGTGTTGGCTTTTGATTTAAATGAAATTTATAAAAACAACAAAAAATTATAAATGTGTATATATAGGTGTATATATACACATACATGTACACACACACACATACACACATACACACGAGGATGATAATCCTGTTTCCTCATACTACCTCTATCATGTTAGAAGGCAAGTGCTTTGAGTGTTCCTTTAAGAAGTGTATTCACATCACATATTTCTGATGATTTTGAATAATAGAAATTTAATGTGGGTTATAACCTTAGAGATAATTTCAACCAGATTTCTAATTTTACAGATGGGGAAAATGAGGTTTAGAGAGAAGAGGTGATTTGACCAAGGTCATAGGATTATAGAATCTAAAGCTAGTAGGGACCTTAGAAGTCATTCAGTCCAACTCTTTCATTTTAAAGATCCTTTAGCCTTAACGATCAAATACAAAAGCCCTCAAGGACCATCATAACCTAGTTCCCTCTTTTCCAGTTTTCTTATATCTTACTCCCCAACATGTACTCTTTGATCCAGTGAAACGGGCTTCCTGGCTATTCCATGAACAAGACACTCCATTAATTTTTTTGGCTCCAGGCATTTTATCTTGCTGCTCACATACCTGGAATGCTCTTCCTCCTCCTCTCTGCCTCCTGGCTTCCCTGATTTCCTCTAAGTCCCAAATAAAATCCAGTTCTCTACAGGAGGCTTTTCTCAGCTCCTCTTAATTGTAGTGTCTTCTGTCTTTTCCTATTTATCCTGCATGTAGTTTGTTTATATATATTTGTTTGATCCCCCATTAAATTGTGAGCTCCTTGAGGGCAGAGACTGTCTTTTACCTCTTTTTGTATCTGACTGCTTAGCACAGTGTCTGGCACATAGTAGGTGCTTAAGAAATGTGTATTGACTGACTTAAAGATGAAGAAACTGAAGCCCAGAGAAATTAATTAACTTGCCAATGTTACACAGTTAGTAAGTGGTAGAGCCAAGATTAGAACTAAGACTCTTCTCACTTTGAAATCAATCCTCTTTCCAATGCTCTACACTGCTACCTTCATTTAAATGAATCACTGACCAAAAATAATTTTATTTAGATTCAGGATTATTAATTACTCCCTAGGCAAGATGGCATAGCTTTAATTCAAATATATACTATTTATGACCAAGATATTAAATTATTTTTCTTATTTATTTTGCCCCCTTTTAGGATCAGATAGTTGTCAATGGCACTATCAAAGAAAATAATGAAACAAATGAAGACCTCACATATCAAGATGAGAAGGGTGCACAACTATATAAAAATGGCAGTAGCAAAGGAGAAGGGGATGCTGTTGAGAATGCAAAGACAGGAGAAAAGGGGTCTTATTCCAGTCTTATATTAGCCAAAGGAGAGAGAGATATTGGAGATGGGCATGGGGAAAAAGTGTATCCAGAAACGTTAGCGAGAGACAGGAATGGAGAAAATGATACAACAAATGGTTTTGAAGACATCATTTACAAGGCAGGAAATGTAATGAATAATAATAATGAAACCACTAGTGGAAATGTCAAGGAAGAGAATGTTACCAACACAAACCAAACTGAAATTATCGATGTTCAGCAAGAGAATGTAAACAAGAATAGAAGCAATGAAGATGAAGGAAATGTAAACATTGATAAAAATGAGGGTGGTCTAAATGAAGAAACTCCTTACAGAGGAGATGGAAATGGGAGTAATCAAACTGAGGATCCAACAGAAAAAAGCAAAACTACAAATGATAACGGAGAAGATGAAAACTGGAATGATATTGATGGTGGTGCTAGTGGTAATGGAGCTGACACCTTTGAAGGGAATGGTTCTGGTGATGATGAGGGAGAAAAAGCAGAGGAAAGAAATGAAAGCACTGTTGATAATACAGATTCAAGCTTTCCTAGTAATGAGATTGAGGAAAATGGAAATGAAGATGACAGTGATAATAACTTAAGCAAAAATACAAGTAATGCCAATGAAGAGGATGACACTGCAGACAAAGATGATTTCCTCAATGGAGAAAATACTTCAAAGAGTGATGAAGATCATGATAATACAGTAGAAGCTACCATGGAGCTGACTTTTCCCCTTAAAGGTAGTAAAAATGGATTAAATGAAGTACCAGGTACCAATGACATTGGCAGAGACCAAGAAAAGGTAAATTTTAGAATCTTTTTTTTTGTCTAGTCAACTTAAACAGAATTGTTTCTCCAATTTTTTTTCCCTTCAAACAAATTTAAAAAAAAAACTGCATTCTTCTACATTAGCCTTCTATATTACTTGAATAAAAAAAATACAGAATTCTTAATGCACTGGCATGGTATAACTTTGAGAATTAAGATTTTTACAAGCTTGCTGAAAATCTTTTGGAAACTGTGCTTTACCAAGTCATTGCTTGCAGAATTTCATAGAATTCAGAATTTGAAGGGAGGTTAGAATAATCTAGTCCAATGGCATCAGATTTTACAAATGAAGAAATACAGGTGGATTGATAGCAAGGGCTTGCATATGATTACCAAGGCAGGGTGTAGTGGGCCTAGAATTCACATCTGACTGTTCTTAATCCCAATCTGGCTTTATTTTTACTCTGCCAAAGCCCCTCAGAGAATTTGGGTGACTGTTGAAGTGTCCTTAGAGTGAAAATCTTTCAAGAGCAAAGAAAGTAAAAATGTCACAAAAATATAAATGTAACATATAAAATATAAATATAATATTTTAAAATATAAGTTAACATCATCTCGAATTAATTGATGCAGTCCAATTTTCACAATTTTATGTAATGTTGTTGCTTTATTTACGCTTTTTTTTCTCTGCTGTTTCATAGCAGGTAGAAAACAATGGAACCACCAACATCAATGGTATGGAAACTACTAAAGAAGCTGAAAAAGTAAATGATGCTCTTAGAAGTAAAGGAAATGACGTTATTTCTGACAAAGGATCCCATGATGTGGCAGGGAAGGTTGACAATGAACCTGTTGGAAAGAACCTGAAAACAAAACTTGGTGGCAAAGCTGGACCCAGCAACACTGGCAGTGAAAGCAATAGCGATGGATATGATGAGAGCTATGATTTTGACAATGAATCTATGCAAGGAGATGACCCTAATAGCAGTAACAATGATGCCAAGTCTGAAAGCGAGGATATCAGTAAAAGTGAGGGCAATGATTCTGATGAACCTGAAGAATCAAATGGTGATAACAATGGTAGTGACTCACCAGAAGGAGGAAATGAGGATAGTGATAGTGTATCAGACACTAATGATGATGATAGCAACAGCTCTCATAATGGCAGCGACAGTGGTAACGACAATGATGGAAATGTAGCAAATGGCAATAGTGATAGTAGTGACAGCCATGACAGTGACAGTAAATCTGATAGTGATAGTGACAGTGAATCTGATAGCAGTGACAGCAGTGATAGCAGTGATAGCAGTGACAGCAGTGATAGTAGTGACAGCAGTGATAGTGAAAGCAAATCTGACAGCAGTGATAACAGTGATAGCAGTGACAGCAGTGAGAGTGATAGCAAATCTGATAGCAGTGACAGCAGTGATAGTGAAAGCAAATCTGATAGCAGTGACAGTGATAGCAAATCTGATAGCAGTGACAGTAGTGATAGTGATAACAAATCTGATAGCAGTGACAGTAGTGATAATGAAAGCAAATCTGATAGCAGTGACAGTGATAGCAAATCTGATAGCAGTGACAGTAGTGATAGTGATAACAAATCTGATAGCAGTGACAGCAGTGATAGTGAAAGCAAATCTGATAGCAGTGACAGCAGTGATAGTGATAGCAAATCTGATAGCAGTGACAGCAGTGATAGTGAAAGCAAATCTGATAGCAGTGACAGCAGTGAAAGTGATAGCAAATCTGATAGCAGTGACAGCAGTGAAAGTGATAGCAAATCTGATAGCAGTGACAGCAGTGAAAGTGATAGCAAATCTGATAGCAGTGACAGCAGTGAAAGTGATAGCAAATCTGATAGCAGTGACAGCAGTGAAAGTGATAGCAAATCTGATAGCAGTGACAGCAGTGAAAGTGATAGCAAATCTGATAGCAGTGACAGCAGTGAAAGTGATAGCAAATCTGATAGCAGTGACAGCAGTGAAAGTGATAGCAAATCTGATAGCAGTGACAGCAGTGACAGTGATAGCAAATCTAATAGTGTCAGTAATGAAAGCAGTGATAGCAGTGATAGTGATAGCAAATCTAATAGTGACAGTAATGACAGCAGTGATAGCAGTGACAGCAGTGATAGTGAAGGCAAATCTGATAGCAGTGATAGTAGTGACAGCAGTGACAGTAGTGATAGTGATAGCAGTGATAGTAGTGACAGCAGTGACAGTAGTGACAGTGATAGCAAATCTGATGGCAGTGACAGTAGTGACAGCAGTGACAGTAGTGACAGCAGTGATAGTAGTGATAGTGATAGCAAATCTGATGATAGCAATGACAGCAGTGATAGTAGTGACAGTAGTGATAGTGATAGCAAATCTGATAGCAATGACAGTGATAGTGATAGCAAATCTGATGATAGCAGTGACAGTAGTGACAGCAGTGACAATAGTGATAGTGATAGCAAATCTGATGATAGCAGTGACAGCAGTGATAGTAACAGTAATGAAAGCAACCATCAAGGCAAGACTAAAAATGATACTAAGAATGGAAATGACAGTGATAGTGATAGTGACAGCGACAGTGTCAGCGAAGGCAGTGACAGTAACCATCTAACAAGTGATGATTAGAGCAAAGGCCAGGAACTATAAAGTTCCTCCTGTGAAAAGTCCAAGTAATTTCTAAAAAGTAAAATTTCTGTAAAAGTATAACCAGTGAGAGAGAATGAAATGAAAGTCAGGCATCACCTGAGACACAATTTTAGAAACTGTCAAGCTGTCCAACTGGGAGCCAAAGAAAAGCTAACTCAGATATATTCTGAATGCTTGATCTATATGTGTTCTAAGTTAGTAGGTAAAAATGTTACATAAATATAGACGTGCTTAAATGTATTGAAATTTCTTTGTGCTTTAACTTTAATTCAAATGCAAAGTGAAATGTGAAACAGTGGGAAAATACCGCTTAGGCTGACCATACCTAAAAGCTTGACTCTTGTCTGGCTCGCCAAATAGCAACTTAGACTTCGTGAATTAAATGACCCGAAGAGTTCTGTAGAATGCTTCCCCTAAGCAATAACAGATGGTTACAAACAAGTATGTGGCATTGTCATGTTCCAGAAAACATGACTTCTGGGTGGCTGCATTCACAGTTAAGGAAGTATTGTTTGATCATATCTGGCTCTGCTATTGAAACCATTATTTGACACAAGGCCCTACTCTATGTAAAACAAAGTGGAGTGTAAAGAATATGTCCATTGTTGCCTAAAGAGAATGACTGTGACAGGTACTTTTGATTCTAAATATTGACAAAACTAAAGAACGGTAACATTTTAGTGATGGTTTTAAAATCTACCGAAAGAGAAAAGTGTATCTGCAAGGCGCCGGGAATTTAGCATGATGTCCTTGAAGAAGACTTGATCAAGTACCCCTCTAGGATATCTTGCTCATGGAGCTCAGTGCTGGGTTGGACTCAGGGAGACTCACATTCTAAATCTAGTGCTGTGATCTCCATGTATAACTCTTAAAATTAGCCACACTATATTATGAACTTGATTGTCATAATGGTAAAACTGGTTGTATGTATAAAGAGAGGCTGGTTTAGGATAAATTTATCTTTTTAAGACTAAACCTCACTCAAGAATTGCATCAACTTCTTAGAAGTTTCCTTGGTCTAGACGTGATTTTTAAGCCAGTAGCAGCTTAAAAATTACCTGGAGATTTCCTTTTTTTTTTTTTCTTCTTAGGCCACATTTGCAACCAAAGGTCTCGGAAGATCCTTTAACTGGTATATGGATACTAGTAATTTTCACAGTCAAAGAGGTATCCCCAAACCCATCCAGTTAGAGAAACACTACAGCCTAAATAGCATTTTAGAAGAAATATAACTGACATTCAATATAACTGATAGTTAAAGATTTACTTATGCTCTACGAAACGAAATATGGGGAGAATTCCTTTCTTTCACCTTTATTTTATTTTAGGTTTGGACTTGAGATTTCATCTGGGCAGAGAACTGCCAAGGTAGAAACTCCCTTCACTAATGCAGATTATCAACTCATTATAGAATTAGAAAGTTGCCAAGTCAGACTTGCCGATGATCCCCTAACTGTGTCAGAGGTGAGACATGAATACAGGCATTCCTGACTTTAAGTCTGGTACTCTACCGACTCTACCATGCTGCTTCCCTTGTACCATTATTCTATATAATTTAACTCTTTGATTTATTGTTCTAATGAGGGTGTCTAGGAATCGTTCCCACTTTGTTTGTACCTTTGCTTAGTTGTTTCCTTAAATCAAAGAAATGGCCTTAGGGTGTGGAGCATCTTCTTACTTACATGCATTGGAGTATGGAAGTGTGGAGCAACTATTCTTAGCTCCATCTTACGGATGAAGAAATTGAGACGTAGAGAGAGGAAATAAATGACTTGGTGATTCTTCAACAGGGTCATAAGTATCACACCTCACATTTGAACCAGATTTCTGAAATTCGTTGCCCTTGCCAATAAGCCAGGCTACCATAGAGATGCATTTTGTTTTGTTTGTGTATTGATTTTATTTGTTTATTAAATCTAACAAAGTCTTACTCTGATGCCTTCAACTGGCATGGAGGTGATCCCAGCTTCTCAAAGGCTATGCCAGTGAATATAAATCCTTGCTGGTCTGATGAAGCTGGAAAAGTTACAAGTGTAGACTAGGATTTGAGTGTGAAGCACTGTTAGGATGGTTCAGGGGACAACATGGCCTCTTCTTTGAGGAGAGGGCTCAATATGAGCCAAGATATTAGTTTTGACTAGAGAGAGTGGGTGCTTCTGTCGGCCTTGTTCTTCCAAGAGGAATAATATTTCTTGGGACTGCTTCCTACCCAAGCAGAGATAATATCTGGGTCCTAGGGGAAGAAATATTATAGTCCTCAGGCAGTCAATTTGACAGAGAATGAGAGGATATTAATTAAAGTAAATTCAAGGAATAAGGAACTGGGCAGGGCAACCTGAGCAGGGAAAATGGGGGGTAGAGACTGTAGGGGCAGGATACAACCATCAGATTACTGTAAGTAATATAAACTACAAGGACTAAATGCTGATTTTATTTTAAAAAAGGCATAAACTTAACAATTATATACCTAAATAAGAATGGATTAAATGCCCCTATGAAATAAAAGAGAATGGATTAATGGAAAACAAACAAAAAAACCACCACATAATAAACTGTTGTATACAAGAAACACTTGTAAAACACAGATACACTTATTTTAATATATGTTGTCTCATCATTATCATTGTCTTTCATGTAGTTATTAATTGTTTCTTTGATTTGTTTTTGGTCATCAATAAGTCTCCATTTAGATTTGTATCTTTTCCTTATGCTCCCTATATTAATTAAGATTTTTATTACATTATGGTCTTTAAGGGATATGGCTAATATTTTTGCTTTTTTGCATAAATTTATAGTTTCTCTGTTCTCTATTTTGTGCCATATAATTTCTATGTGCCCTGTTTTCTGTGTCTATTTTTAAAAGTGTCATGTGGTACTGAGAAATATATATTCTTCAATATTCCCATTCAGAAAATTTTGTCTTTCAAACTGTACAGTTTTCCAACTGTTTGTTCATTTCTATTTCTATAGTTTCCTTTTTGTTGATCTTTCTGATATATTTATTCAAGTCTGGGAGAGGAAAAGTCTCTTGCTATTATGCTTCTCTTCTTTTGAATGTACACATTTTCATGGATTAGGGTGAGCTTTGTAAGATGCTATTTGCAATTTCAGTTTGAGTTCCTTTGGAGTTGTTGTTGTTGTTGTTTTTTTTAATATACCATCCCATTTCCTTTTGAGATTTTCTGTGGCTGTGGAAAAATCTCTTGTTATTCAAGTTTGAAAATCTTTCCCCTAGTCATTTTCAAAATTTGTTGTTTAATATTGAAACTGTGAAATTTACCCACTATGTGTCTTGAATGCAGCTAAAGTCATTGTCAGAGGAAAAACATTATATCCCTGATGACATACACCAACAAAATAAAAAAAGATAAAATTAAATAAATATGCAATTATAATTTAGAAAACCAACAAATAAATCCAGGATAAAAACAAAAGAGGAAATCTTGAAAATTAGAGGAAAGCAAGTTGGAAAACAAGAGATCTATAGAAATTATTTAAAAAAACTAAAAGTTGGTTTTTTGAAAAGATTAACAGATGAAATAAAACTTTAGTCAACTTGACTTAAAAGAAGAGGGAATATAATTAAATCAGTAAAATTTTTAAAAGAATACAGTGAAATAACAAATAAAAATAAAAAAAATTAATCAGAACCTAATCTGAAATTGTAACACACCTACTACATGCCAGCAAAATTGGGAATTCAAAAGGAAGAGATTATCTATGAAAATATAAGATTCTCAAATTAACAAGGCACCAAGTAAAGATTTCAAGTGATTTCAGAAATGCCAATTGAACTACTTGTAAATGAACTAGTATAAAAACCCCAAATGAACCCCCCCATCCAGATGAATTTATAGGACAATTATATAAAAATTTTTAAAGAATAATTAATATCTATACCCCACAAATTGTTCTCTAAATTTGAGAAAGAAAACACTCTACCAAATTCTTTTCATGACACAAATAGAATCCTAAGACCTGGGGCAGCTAAGTGGCACAGTGGATAAGCTCTAGCCTTGAAGTCAGGAGGACCTGAGTTCAAATCCAGCCACAGGCACATGACACTTACTACCTGTGTGACCCTGGGCAAGTCAATCCCGATGCCTCACAAAAAAAAAATCCTAAGACCTTACCCACACAAGATTAAAGCACAAATAGAAAACTTTAGACCACTTATCAAAAAACAAAAACAAAAAACTGGTCAAAAAGACTGCAGCAATTTATCCAAGGTTTGTTTTTCTTTTTCCTCTCACTTTGATCATTAGATTTATGCCAGGTGTTCAACAATGGCTGAATATTACAAAAGCAATTAAGATGATCATTGAAGACAAGAACACTTTAAACCATGATCATATACAAATAAATATATTATTATACAAGCACATACAATGTATTATGTACTATAATGTGTGTTATATACAGACGGGTACAAAAAAGCCTTTGACAAAGTATAGCCCTTTGAGAAAGTATAACACTAGCTTTTTTACAAAGTACAGCACTCCTTTATGCTAAAATCTTTAAAAAACATAAATATAGAAAAACCTTTCTTCATATGGAAACTGTCTAAAACACAAAGCTTGCATTGCGTGCAATGAGGAAACACTAAAAGTTTTCTCAATAAATTCTAGCGTAAAGCAAGAATGTTCTTTCTCCTTTCCTTTCTCTCCATATTTGCCACAATTCTAGAAATGCTAGCAATAGCAATGACAAGAGAAATAAATTTAAGGCAAAGATGAGACCAAACATGATAGTTTACTTAGAAAATCCTAGAGAATCAACAAAGAAACCAGTTGAAACAATAGCTTCAGTAAAGTAGGAGGAAAAAGAATAAACCAATAAAAAATAAATAGCAATTCTATATGGCATTAACAAAATATAAAAGGGCATAATATCAAAGGAAGTGCCATTCAAAACAACTCTAACAAACATAAAATACATGAATCAATCTACCAGAGTATACTCAGACCTTCACATCTACAATTACAAAATGTTCCTTAAATTAAGTTACTTACATGACCGGAAAATTTTTCATTGCTCATGGATGGGTCATGCCGATATAATAACAATGTCATTGCTAACTAAATGAATTTACAGTTTTATTCTATAACAATAAAAACC